TGCATTGGGGGCCAAGGTGAAGGGGACAGCTTGTAGAAACCCTTTTGAATAACCCCTACACCCTAAAATGCTAATCTTGTAGAGTGCATGTTTTGCGTATTGAAGAAAGCGTGGGTGCGTAGGGGTTGAAGGGGCGAAGAGCGGAAACACGGCCTTCACCCCTCGCACCAAATCGACGCATCGCTACAGCTAGCATTCTCCTGACTCCTGAATCCTTTTTGACCCCCAAATATACCCTAAAGCCTCAAAACCCAATGAGTTGGAAGTCCTTGAAGAAGTCTTAAGCTCTTGCACGCTCTGGGATGTTGGGCGGGGAGGGGGTTTAGGGCTCCAGCACGAAGCCGAAAGAAGCTGTGGCCGGTTTTTCTTATTCGGTTTCCTATCGTCTTACACATGACCATTTCCCGAATTGGGGTCCCGTCCAATATACCCCAGAAACAGTCTTAGTATAGGAACCCCCCCAAGAATGGGTACCCCTAATCTCGGAACCCCCCCCCCCAAATCAGTATTGCTTCTTAGGCTTCATTTGACAGTCGAGCGCGCAGCATAGTTACAATACAAGATGTCGCGCTCTTCTCGGGCTTTTCATTCAAATATTTTGGCTGAAGCCTACACCCTGAACCCAAACCCTAAACCCTAAGTAAACCCTAAACCCTAAAGCCTAACCCCTAAACCCGAAACCCTAAACCGTGTCAGGGGGTCTTGAGACATGATGATGTTGATGATGATGATGATGATGGCCCCGAAGTGCTACAAAGATGGGCAAGAAAGGGACCCCTTACCGTAGTTTGTTCAAAGAACCAACCTTACAACCTAAGGCAAAGTACTTGCCGAACTATCTGACCCAAGTAGTAATGGTGGCTGTCCTATGTAAGGATAGACAGGGCCAAGAGGCCGCGACAAGGCTGCTAGTGCTAAGTCGCAGCATAGGGGTTTTTTGTAGAAAGAAGATCTGCAAGAAGGCATCACACGCATCCTGGCACCCTAAACCATAAGCAACAAAATGCTAGAAACACCTCGATCGAGGCGGGGGCTCAAGGTCTATAAGCTGCAGGGCTTTTCTAGCCAGGGTTTAGGGTTTAGGGTATAGGGTGCTTGGAGGTTCACTGCACCTTTCAATTAGACCCCATGAGCCCGACAAAGTGAATCACATGTAGGAACCCTTTCCCGAGGGGCTATTTCAAGGGGATGCATTCAAATGGCCAACATCGAAACCTTTTCAGGTTTCAGGGTTTAATTGGAGGTTCATGGTACCTACTAACCAATTAAAACTGTACTTATAACCCACTTATAAGCCCCTTAAGTGCCCTAATATTGTTATAAGTACAGTTATAAGTACAGTTATAATTGGTTAGTAAGTGCTTGCAGGGTCTAGGCGTTCTAGTGTTTATAGCAGGGTGTTTTGTCTTTACAGGGTTCAAGGCTTAGACTCCACTCGCATCTTGGGGAACATTACGGGGAGCCCTATTGGGATGTCGCTCATTTCCCCTCTCTCTCTCTCTCTCTCTCTCTCTGCTCCACAACCTCGGATGAACCAAAGTAGCTTTATTAACTTAGTTGTCCAGTACCTAGGGGTTTTAAAGGTTAACCTTTTGGGATTATAAGGTGAATATATTACCCCAAAAAGGTTAAAGGTTACCTACTCTACTACTAAGATAATCAAGAAGTCTTCCTCAAACCATCTTGCGGCTTCTGAGCTTCAACTGGTTGAACAGCGCTATTCTGGAAGATCTGGCAACAGATCACCCTAAACCCTAAACCCTAAACCCCAAACCCTAAACATCGGATCTACCACATGTACCCTCGGTTGTCCGGATATCTTACGCAAACGCTCCGCCTTTTTGACGAGGGGCGACAAACTGGGCGCAAAAGGAAACGTTTCTGATTCCAGTCTCTTGTGGGTCAGCAACCCTAAACCCTAAACCCTAAACCCTAAATACCCTAAACCCTAAACCCTAAACCCTAAACCCTAAACATGGGTACCAGTCGTCATCGGCCTGGCGGTGAAGTCAGAGAGCTCAGAAGCCTCACCATGACACCATGATACTGAGGCCAATGGATACACCTGTTTTTTTTTTTTTTTTTGGGGGGGGGGGGGGGGGGGGGGGCGACGTTTCCCACGCCCTTTAACTTTAGGGTTTAGGGGTTAGGGCCAAAAGGGCTTAGGGTTTGGGGTCAGAAGTGTTTTGGGTTTCTGGTCAAAAAAGGGTTTAGGGTCAGAAGGGTTCAGGGTTTATGGCCCAACAAGGGTTTAGGGTCCAAAACGGGTTTAGGGTCAGAAGGGTTTCGGGCCAAAAAGGGTTTAGAAAGCGAGGCTTGGCATGTGACCCGTCCCTGCCCAGGGTTTAGGGTTTAGGGTTTAGGGTTTAGGGTTTAGGGTTTAGGGTAACCTCCGATCCTTCCAACTTAGCATGGATGTGCAGACATGTGCAGACAAAGCCTTCGATGCGGAGAATTGCCCTAAATCTGGTTTGGACTTGGGCCCGAATAAGATTACACTTCCATGGCTGAAACTGAGTCCCGTAGAAACTGAGCTGAACTCTCCCTAGCGACCGCTTCACCGACAAGAAAGCGATGATGACTCGCCGCATCTTTCGCGGTTTCTGCTTCTGCTGCTGTGCCCTAAAGGTTTCACCACTCAGCCAACGCAGTCTTCTATCGCTAGTCTTCAGCCCGAGCCACCGAGAAACTCCAAAGAACACGGAGCACAACCTCCCCAAAAACTCCAACACCCCCCCGCTTCATGAAGGAATGTTCCTTCCAAAATATTATAGAGTTCCTTACATGGTTTAAGGATGTTCCATAACTATCTGGGCCGTCCGGTAGAGCACAGCAGGCATAATTAAACAGTTGGGATGCCCACGGGCTGACACCTCATGCGCCAACACCTGGGACAGCGGCGCACAATTTAGGGTTTAGGGTTTGCATCGCAGTTCAGGAACTTGTTTAAGGCTTTCGGTTTAGGGTTAGCTGGCCTAGTTGCTGGGAATTCTGGCCTAAAAAAGGTCAACCTTCCAATTATGGTAGGAGAGTGTATGGCCCAAAAAGGTCCCTAAACCCTACCCCCTAAACCTTCAACCTTAATCCCGAAACCCGACAACCGAACCCTAAACCCTAAAGCCTAAAGGTTATCTACTCAGCAACTAAGCTGAGGAGGTCACTCCGAGACGGGCATTTCACAAAGACCCCTTAAACGGCTCCGAAAGCCTGCCAGGGTTTAGGGTTTAGGGCTAGGGTTTAGGGTTTGGGGTTTGGGGTTTGGGGTTTAGGGCTGGGTTTAGGGTTTGGGGTTTCGGAGTTTAGGGTTTAGGGTTTAGGGCTAGGGTTTAGGGCTTGGGGTTTCGGAGTGTAGGGTTTAGGGCTTCGAAGGCTCCTCTGGTAGCTGAGCCAGGCGCCGCCAGGCAAGGCAGGAGCAGAAGCCGGGAGGGACCTTCGCTTTGAGCACTCTTGGGTGCAGGGTTTAGGGTTTAGGGTTTAGGGTTCAGGGTTTAGAGTCTAGAAACCCTAAACCCTAAACCCTAAACCCATTCTTTTCTAAGGGCCCTTACTTGGAGGTTCATGGGTAGCTGTAGGTAACGTTCAGAAGTACCCCCAAAGTCTCGAACAAAAAACACTTTCAAAAGAATGCAATCGCAGCACCCTGAATGGGGTCATAAGTACAGCTGCCATACTTATCGCCCTACTTGCAGCTACTGGGTTGGCCTCTAAACCCTCTGAAGAATAATTATATATAGGGTCCCTAATGATTTAAACCAATTAAGGCAATTAAGGAAACAAAAGAAAACAAAAACAACCTAGGCTCCCCAAAGTAAACTCCCAGTAAGCCTCCGCCCGGGCGCTCCGCCGCAACTCAACGCTGCAAAGCTGCAAACCCTTTCTCTAGCCCTGAGTTCCTGGTTTGGGGTTTGGGGTTTAGGGAGATTCATAGCCCGAAACCCTGAGATGGAGGTGGAGGTCGCGTATCATCTTGTGGAAATGGAGGTTGACGTGTCTCCCGAAGTGGTATGACGAGGACCTGTACCAGGGGTTGGCTCGCTCTGTTGGCCTTCGCGTTGTGAGGGTCCAAGGTCAGGATTGCTGGCTGGATGGAGGTGAGATAACCCAATCATACTTATGACTCAAGATAGGGAGGAGTGGCCCTTGGTCTACGTATCTTACTTCTCCAATAACCAAGGGGGAAAAAAGGTTAAACTTTAATATTCCTACTACAGAAGGAAACCCAAAAAGTTCAAAGTTCAACTAAAGGCGAAGTAAGGTATACACTACGGTGCCCCCTCGTTTGTAGACCGGGAGAACGCAGCAAGCAGAGAGGCTCCTAGCTCGGGGCTTGGGGGGTTATAGGGTTTATAGGGTCTATAGGGTTTATGGACCCTAAACCCTAAACCCTAAACCCTAAACCCTAAACCCTAAACCCTAAACCCTAAACCCTAAACCCTAAACCCAAAACCCAAACCCTAAACACTAAACCCGTGGTTTTTAGGGTTTCCTCGCTCGCCAGCAGGCAAGGCTTCGAGATTAGGGTTTGTTGTTCCCGAAGAACCCGATCCCAGAAGCTTACTGGCTCCTAGTACTTTAGTACCCACCCTAAGGCTCTTGGGCCCTCAAAGCCCCCAGGATTTGAGACCCCGGAGCCTTTCCCAGCAGGTACCTGTCCCTCTGCAGCTGGGTCCTTGGAGCCTTACTTGGAGGTTCATGGTACTTACTAACCAATCATAACCGTACTTATAACTGTACTTATAACCATCTTAGGGCACTTAAGGAGCTTATAAGTGGGTTAAAAGTACAGATATGGTTGGTTAGTAAGTACCATGAACCTCCAAGTAGGGCATATAACCCCATTAGGTAGAAGGGGATGGAAGGTGACTGAGTCTCTCCTTCTCCCTACTAAGGAACCCTAAGAACCCTAAGAAACCCTAGAAACCCTATAGACACCATAAACCCAAACTAGGGAACCCTAAACCCTAAACCCCAAACCCCAAACCCTAAACCGTGCCTTGGTGCTAGAGCTTCTTCTGGAGGAACTCCTCGAAGGAGCCACCAAGGAGTCGTCCGACCTCGGTGGTGTTTCCTAGGGGCTGAATACCCTGAGCACAAAGAAGGTTAGCCTTTTAAATGTACTAGGATTACATATATATATATATACATACATATTATGTAAATTATATATGTATACAGAGCCCCCCCCCAAAAAAGTTAACCTTTTAGAATGTAGTAGGATTATGTGTAACCCAAACAGGTTAAAGGCTGCCTACCCAGCCCTTAGGCTTTTCGTGTTTCACCTCTTCAACGTTTAGTCTGTAGTCGGTGGATTTAGGTTTTTTTTTGCAAAAAGATAGATCTCTTCGTGGGGGGTTTGAATTGACGTCCATTTTGGGATTCTTGAAGGTTTTGGGGTCTGTAGGGTTCAATGTGGGGGTTTACGATAACAGGAGTACCTTATTGGGGTCCTTATTATACGGGGATCCTACTATATGGGGGGTGTATATTAGGGGCCCCTTACTCTCGTAAACCCCCACCCTAAACCCTAGACCCTAAACCCTAGACCCGAAACCCTAAATGTCCTTGACTGAGGACCGATATAGCATGACGGACTTTTTGGCATGGGATGAGGCCCCGGCGCCACCACAAATTTAAAATCAAACCACGAACCCCTAAGCCGTAAGCCCCAAGCCCCAAACCCTATGTACGACGAGACCCCAAGTTCGGATCGTCCTCGGCTGAGCCCAACGCATCACGGCGCAAGTCACCACGACTGACGCGATAACCAGTTGCCTCCAAAACGGCGGCGGCTGAGGACCGCCGTTTGAGGTTTGCTGCAATGTGTTCCAAATTGGCTGCTGACAGCCTGGAGCTAGTTGCAATATCGGCATGGAGAAACACTGTGAGTGTGCCACATGTGTAGGGGTTCCACCACTACCTTTTACCAAGACCCCTTCTGCAACGAGAAGCTGACCCCCTGCCTCTCCATACGCTAAAAACCTCAGACTGAACGAAACTTCCCCGACACCAAGACACATAAACCCTGCCCTAAGCCCTACGCCCTGAAAGCCCTGTCCAGTCACCCACACATTCAGTCGACAGGTCTTATGGAACCCACTATGCGTTCAGCAGTTTGCAAGCAGCCTGAGGCACAAAGAAAGCAAACAAACGTGACCCGACAAACGGCACACTACTGCGCAGGCACAACCGCCGTAACTTCCGCAAACCCCTTCTGAAACCCACACCCTAAACCCTAAACCCTAAAACTCCGAACGGAACCTTCTTTCTTGAGCCTATCATGTCCAGCCAAGGTGCCATAAGCTCAGTGTACTTGCTCACAAGCAGCTTGGACAGCATGGATCGCCTCGGCAGGCGAAACCCCGAACCCAAAAAACCCTACAACCCCTATAAACCACTATAAACCACTATAAACCCTGCAAACCCGATGAACCCTAAAACCCTAAAACCCTGAAACCCTAAAAAACCCCAAAAAACAAAAAACCTAAAAACCCTAAAACCTTCGGCCTGAGCTGCTATGGCAAGCGATTCGCATCGAAGTCAAAGTGTTGGGATTAGAATGATTAGGGTTTAGGGTAGAGCCCAGCACCCTCAATTAAGAAATATTCGGGCTTGCGCATCGAATTTTAAGTATATTCCTTGAGTTAGGGGGACTTTTGCTCTCTGGGTAACTGTTAACCCTGAACCCTCAAACCTAGACTTTTGTGCATCCGGGCTTGGGGCGTCGGCCGGGAACAACCCTAGGCCCTAACCCTAAACCCTAAACCCCCTTTTTTGGACCCGGAGCTCCATCCAATCAGCCGGGAGCCCTAAACCCTAAACCCTAAACCCTAAACCCTAAACCCTAAACCCTAAACCCCAACCTTGTGAGGTGCCCGGCGCGTGGATCCACTTGTAAATGAGCTGGTCATGCACACGGGCAGAGCTTGCCTGGCCAAGTTCGGAGGCATGCAGGCTGTGTACCACGACTTTGGGTTTAGGGTTTAGGGTTTAGGGTTTAGGGTTTAGGGTTTAGGGTTATTTGTTACTTAGGGTGCAGGGTTTGGGGGTTCTTTTTCTTGCAGAGCTAGAACCTGGATTCCCAGCGTGATCAGAGTGAGGTAGGGAACTTTCTTTCTTGTTCTTCAAGGCCACGTATCGTGAGAAATCTCTGAGACTCAAGACGTGTTGTTCAGAAACTGCTGCAAGAAGAACCATAAACCCTAAAACCTAAGCCTCCCCTTCCAGTCCGGGTGAACTTAGGAGGGACACGAGCGTCTGATCGAAGGGTCGAGGGGAAGGGGAACGTGCCCTAAACCGTCGCTTCAACGACACAGAGACACCCTGCGTCACAGTTAAGGCATACTGTAATCCGTGATTAAGGAATCTGGTTCGGGGGACCAGCGCTAAAGATTGCCGCTTAGGTTAAGACTCAAGGCTAACTTCGGGTTCTTGACGATGGGATGGGCCCCCACAGCTTCAACTAAGCAGAACCGTTTCTTTTTGCCAGCAGGCTTTCAAAGTCGGCGTGGCAGTAAACCCTCAACCCACAGCCACACCTGAACCGGGTGCAGAATTAAGGAAGAGGCCTTAAACTATATAGGGATCCTTAGTATGGCTTAAGGCATACCTTAATTCATAATTCTAAGGTATAATAAGGGCAGTTCTTGAGGTATACCTTTAATGGTTAAGGCTTCTTTAAGGGGTTTTAAGGGCTCTTTGGGAAAGTGCAGAGAAGGCCGCGCCTGAAACGTGAACTTCGTGCCAAGCATCTCCAAGCGAAGGCTCGTCACCTCTGAGACGACGGACCTCGGCTTCGGTTTAGGGTTCAGGGTTTAGGTTTTAGGGTTCAGGGATCAGGGTTCCGGATTCAGGGTTCAGGGTTTAGGGTTTAGGGCTTTTTTGCACCTTAGGTCTGTTCTTTTCTCGGAAAGTTCTTGTGTTTGGTGTTCCAAGGTAAGCCCTAATTACTAGCTTCGCCAAGGCTTTTTTGCACTTTAGGGCTTTTCCCCTTAGTGAGATTGAGTAGGCCGATAAGAACCCTGACCCCAAACCCTAAACTCCAAACCCTAAACCCTAAATCATCCCTTTAACGGTTCTGAGCCCTCGGCGGCTGGTTGCAGTACCACCAGCATCCCCACAAGTGGAGGTTGCGGAACTTTGTTGCCAACACTGCCGCCTTCACACATCTGTGGAGAACCAAGAGACTCCAATACTCCTTAATTTAGGAATATTGCTTAAACCATATCAGGAACCCTAAACCCTAAACCCTAAACCCTAAACCCTAAACCAGTCCCTGGGAAGTGAGGGTTCTTTTTGTTTCGCTCGCGCATTAGCTGGCCACAGTCACACAGCAGGCCTTTTGGCATCCAGAACTTGCGACAAAACAGGCAAGACGCAAGGGAGGGTTTGTAATAGGGGTGTAGGGCTTAGGGTTAGGGATCTTTCGGCTTAAAATGTCGCAATTTCATGCATGCGACATGTCAGGCACTCCGGTGTTAGTCGAAACTCCGTCCCGTACAGCTGCTATTGTATAGGGGAACCCAGAGGCCCCAATACCCCTCAATTCAGGAATAATACTTAAACCATATAAGCAACCCTCTTATATTGTAAGGAATAATCCTCAAATTAAGGGGAATTCTCTGCAACATAGGATATGTGTCCTGTGTGATGAGCCAGCATTTGGTTGAGGCCTGTGCCGTGAGCCGTGCAATCCAGACCCTTCCAAGAACGTCGAGGCCTGTGGGTGTTGCAGTTGAAGGACCTCAAAGAGCCCAATACCCCCGAACTGAGGAATATACCTTAAATCACACCAAGGCCCTCTATGTTTAATGAGATCTTCCTTAAGTAAGGTGCATTGGGCTCTGAGGCGAGCTTCAATGGCACGGTAGCATTTCTGGACAACGCCGCAAGAGGAGCTGACGTGCCTCATGCTGGTCTGTGCGGCTGAGGACCGTGAACAGGAATTTCACATCCTGGTTGGCCTCGCAGAGGTGTCCTGGTAGCTAGGTATGCATTAAGATAGTTCCTAGTTGTCCAGTAACCTGAGGGAATAAAAGGTTGACCTTGAGATTTTTATAGGGATTAGAATACTCCAAAACAGGTTGAAAGTTACGTACTCTACTACTAAGAGTTTCGGGGTCGTGGAACGGTCTTGGCTTTGGGGGTGGCTAAGCCTCCTCTTTCACAAATGACTTAATAGTCCAGTAACCATATTATAATAGTAGCACCTTTTTTTGTTGGTTACTTTATAAGGGAACCAGAACCCAAAAAAAGGGAAAAGGGTCCCACGGCTACCAAGTCCGTTGAAGGGTTGGGTGGAGTATATCTTGAGGGGTCAGAGCGTCCGACGTTGCGGGCTCTGGCATTCTCCCGTGGTTTTAGACTGTAGAACCAGTCCCAGATCTCACGTTGATGTCGTCTCTGGGCTACGGACCACGGGTCTTCAAGATGATGTTGCGCGCGCCAGCAATTTCTCAAGCTTCCCGAAACAACCACAGGTGCCTGAAGCCAACAGAGGACAATATACCCTCGGGCCCTGGGAGGCCTACAAGTGGGGGCCCTTGTTAGACTAACTTTTGTTGGGGGAGTTTTTGCATACAAAAACAGACTGTGCACCCAGTCTGGGGCCTTAACATCCTACTTAGAACTGGGGGGGGGGGGGGGAGGGGGTGCCCTACTTACCCTAAACCCTAAACCCTAAAACCCTAAACCCTGAAAGCCCTGTCCAGTCCTAGCGATCGAAGCTCGGCTGAGCCGACCTCAGTGGCAGCCGGCGCGAACCCAACCAAAAGGGGTTTAGGGTTTAGGGTTTCGGGTTTCGGGTTTAGGGTTGGGGTTTAGGGTTTAGGGTTTGGGGCTTAGGGCTTAGGGCTTAGGGCTTAGGGCTTAGGGTTTAGGGTTTAGGGTTTAGGGTTGGGGTGTGCCCCCTCTTATACCAAACAGTCCTTAATCGGGACTATAGTACCCCCCTATGATTAAATCCTACTAAGGACTGTTTAGGGTTTAGGGTTTAGGGTTTAGGGGTTTACGGTTTGTATAAGGTGAACATCCCAAGGTTAGGGGGTTTAGGGGGCTTGGGGGTTTGAGGCTTAAGGTCTCGGGATGTAAGGTTCAAGGTGGTTGGGTTCTGGTTTTGGGCTTTCAGAGGTTTTCGAAGGTCTCCGCCTGCGCTTCCGCTGGCCTCTGGGAAGATGCCCACCCTAAACCCTAAACCCTAAAAACCTACAGAGCCGCCAAGCAAGGAAACACACAAACTGCCCACAAAAACTTGTCTGAGCGCACAAAGCTTCTCAGAGAGCACAACTCTATACTCCGCTTAGAGCCTTAACAAACAAATATAGTGTTCCCCTGATTTGTACACAAATAAAGTACAACTCCTCAGGGGGGGCTAGTCTGCAGCTCTCCCTTTAGACAAAGGCCATGCCCCTTCGAAAGTCCAGATGTACCTCCTTGCGTCGAAGGGTTCAGGGTTTAGGGTCTCTAGGGTCTATAGGGTTTAGGGTTTAGGTTTGGGGGTTTAGGGTATGCAGCTTTTGGTGGTACTGGTGGACTGAGGGGTCTTGGGGCTTCTCGGGGGAGGCTCCGGGTGTCCCGGCCCCATCGCCTGCCAAGCCAAGCGAGGGAGACACCTCAGTCAGGAGTCAGGAGCTTACTTGGAGGTTACTACCAATTACTTAAGACCCCCCCAAAAAAGTAAAAACAAATATTCTTCGTTATAAGGGTAATGCAGGAATTGCTATTCTTTATTTTTGTGGGGTTTTAAAGCAAACAGTAGGTTAGGGGTTCATAAGTATGGCAACTATACTTTCTACCCTATTTAGGGGTACCTATGACCCTACAAATGTTGGTCACTTCTCTACATTGTGGTCCCTTTTGGGGTCCTTATCACAAGGCGGCCGCTCCTTTAGGGTACCCACAAAAAGGTGACCCTAATTTAGAAAAGTGATCTTGGAGGTTAGGGTTAATCACCTTAAATTTTAAAGGTACCTACCCTAAGGCTGTTGGCCCCTCAACACCCCAGGGTTTAGGGTTTAGGCGTTTCAGAAGCATGAACTCCAAATGGCTTTGAAGTTGAGATGAGGGATGTAGACTCCCAAGCCTCAAAGCCTCGAAACTTGAAACCCGGGCTCCCCTACTGTGGTTCTTAAACCAGCAGCACCCCATTGTCCCAAGACTAGACCATTCTTAGACGAGTACTGAGTATGGGCCCTGTAAAGGGGACCCCTTATAATATGTACCCCTTGTATACTTACCCTGTGCAACCCACGGGCCCAGACTTCCGTGGGACCATATTAGGGGCCCATATGGGCTTTCCCAACATAGGGGTACTCCTTTTATACCCCAAATAGAATAGAATCCCCTTATAGGGAACCCCCCAAAAAGGCTTCCCCTGTTTCGAACCCCCCATATAGCCACCCTTAGAACCCCTACTTTGGAGTAGACCCTGGAAAGTATAGACTTTTTTGGTATAAGTAGCTATAATGGGAACCCAGTACCAAAAAAGCATTCAAGTATAGTACTCCAAAACCCAGGAACCATGGAGTACGTGGGTCTCCCCGCAGCCCGGCGCGTGCCCATGCGCAAGGACCTTGGGGCGCAGCTTCCCTCGTGGATTCTGGGTTTAGGGCTTTCTCGGTCTTCGGGTTTAGCAGGGTTTTTTGGGTGGGGGTTTTGAGTGGTTTTTGAGGGGCATTTGAGGGGTTTTTGAGCGGTTTAGGGTTTGGTTCCAGAGGTTGGAGGGGTTTAGGGAGTTTAGCCCTTTGCGCGTTCCAGGCCTCGATGATGTCCGCGGCATGCACTGCATGTCTGAACCCTAAACCGTACCTCACCAGGACGGGATTTCATGGGCTTACTTCTTCCCAGAAAGGCTCTGTGAATTCAGAAATACACCCTGTAAACCCTAAACCATATAGTGGCCCTTGGTTGTGATATAAGGCATGCTCCTTAGTCAAGGGCTCTTTGGGTCTGTTATCGGGCTCAACAGATTTCGGCTTGGGCTTGCGGTATTGGCGCGCTCGGCCGCGGTTCATACTTGGAGGTTCATCCAAAACAGCTCCAAAAACACCTTAACTAAGGAATCGGGGGTAGGGCTTGGGGTTTAGGGCCCAATATACCCCGTAGTTCAGGAATATACCTTAAGTCAGACTAAGGAACGCCTTTCCTTTACGAAGGGCTCTTGGGCTCTCTAAGGTGATCAAAAGCTCACCTGCGCGGCCTTAGGCCGCGAAAGGATCGTGAAAGGGTATAAGAGGCTACATAGGGGCCTTCATAATTCGAATGTGTTTTTTTTTTTTGGGGGGGGGGGGGGGGGTTCTTACAGTATTATTATAACTACGGGGACCATGAGGGAGTGATCTTAGTCATGATTCCGACCCCCTATCCTCGTCCCTAGGCGCTCTCGACTCCGAGGTTGGTTTTGATCCGAGAGCCCCAAAGACCGTTTCGTTCCGGAATCCCAAAGTGGGGGGGTAGTGCTCTCAATTAGGGCCCCTTTTGAGTTCTCTACATTAGGTTCCTTTTTGAGTTCTCTAAATTTGGGTCCTTTCTGAGTTCTCTACATTAGGGTCCCCTGTGAGTTCTCTATTTTAGGGTTCCTTTTGAGGGGGGGGGGGGTGCCTTTAGAAGGTGCTGTACTATATAGGGGCCCCGAAAAGGGAGCCGAATGTAGAGAACTACTCATCTAGTTTAAGGTATATATTCCCCTGAGTAGCTAACCATATTATAATAAGGGCACCCTTTTTTTGGTTGGCTACTTTATAAGGGAACCCAGAACGAAAAAAAAAGGGTAAAGGGTACCACTGGGCTACGAAGTCCCTACGGTCTGAAACCCTAAACCCTAAACCCTAAACCCTAAACCCTAAACCCTAAACCCTAAACCCTTCCTCTGGTCTGAGTACTGAGCAGCGGCACATCGAACTCTCTGCAAAGAGGCAGAATCACGGCGTCCAGCACCTGCGCAGAAGCATCGATCAACACCAGGGCCAGGTTTAGGGTTTAGGGTTTAGGGTTTTAGGGTTTATTGGGGTCCTTATGACGTGGAGATAAGGGGCTCAGATACGTAAGTTGCGGAATGTGGTGGCACACCGTGTGCGACGCGCGCAACATGCCCGGCTAACATGGATCAGATGGCCGCACGCGCTTCTCCAGAAGAGCCCGCTCGGGCCCCAAACCAAACTTGGAAGCGCGTCTAGCTTAGCATGTAGGGTTAGCAAGCAGGGTGCCCAATCCAAACTTGGAAGCCCTTCTGACGTAGAAAAATGGGTTAGTGAGTAGGGTTGTGGGGATTGCAATGGGCTTGCACGGGGGTACTAAGTAGACTTACTAAGTCAACAGTAACAGGGTTTTCCAGAGACCTCACTCCCGTATCTACACAATCAACAGAGCCAAAGGGGCCCTGTAAGTGCAAGTCACACGTGAACCAGTACCCATGACAGCCCACCGAATACACATACATATATATATATACACACTATTTTACTATATTTATTTATTTATCTTAGATTTTTTGTTGGGGGGAGGGGGGGGTATTTATAGTATGTTTATATAGCACCATGAAGGGAATACCTGTCAGAAATTATTCCGACCCCCGATGCTACATTAATTTGAGCCCTGCGTTGCTCTGACAGCCCCAGCGGAACGCGACTGATACCTACAGAACCCCAACCTCCGTGGCTTCACATATACTAGACTTATCTACTAAATCCTTAAGACCTCAAAAAGGAGTAACAACAAAAAAACAATCATCCCTACATTACCCTTATAAGGAAGAATATTTGATCTTTAGGGGGGTTCTTAAGCAATTAGTAGCTATAAGGTTCTTAAGGGAGGGGGGGTTCAAGGGGGGCAGGTACCTAGCAAACCTTAGGGAAGGTTAGGGAGTATTAGGGAACCTTGGGGTACATGTATACCCCCCTTGAACCCCCCCCCCCCCCCCCCTTAAGAACCCTAGCTTCACATATACCCAGAGAGACCAATACCCCTTAATTAAGAAATATACCTTGAATCATACGAAGGATCCCTATATGGTTTAAGGTATTACGGGGTACTGGGCTCCTTGGGTACTAGACCCAAGAGTAACCTAGGTAGAAAAAGGGTGCCCTTTTTGTTTCAAGGGGATGGTCAGGGACCCTAAACCCCAAAAAAAGGGAATAAGGGCCTACTCCGAGTCGGTTTAGGGTTTAGGGTTTAGGGTTTAGGGTTTAGGGTTTAGGGTTTAGGGTTTAGGGTTTAGGGTTTAGGGTTTAGGGTCAGGAGAATTCGAGGAATTCTGCCGGCTCATGCTTTGCAGGCCTTGACAAGACGAAGTTCGAGAGCTTGGGATCGTACCCTACATAGGGGATACGTAGTAAGGGCCCTTAACTTGGGTCCTCCTGCTATATAACCCTTACATACACCATACATGTTTAATAAGGGCTCATGCGTCGGATCCCTTGAAGTCCCTTTCAGCAAGGGTAAGGGACCATACGAAGGGCCCATGGCTCCAACCTTAGACAGCTCAGCTTAGTAGCCCAGTAACCATATCGTAATAAGGGCACCCTTTTTTGCGAAGGGAACCCTAAACCCTAAAGCCTAAAGCCTAAACCCTAAACCCTAAACCCTAAACAAAAAGGACAAAAGGGTACCACTGGGCTACCGAGTCAGTCTGGCCCCCGCCTGCTGTGGGCTGGGTGCAGAGGCCGAGCTCAAGTTGTCTTCAAGGAGCCCATCCGGCCTCAGGGTTTAGGGTTTAGGGTTTAGGGTTTAGGGTTTAGGGTTTAGGGCTACTCGACCCAGGAGTAACCTAAGAACAAGAAGGGTGCCCTTTTTGGTTTACAGGGGGTTATAAGGGAACCTAAACCCCCAAAAAAGGGAATAAGGGTAGGGTCCTATACGCTGACCTCTACGTTTCGTGCAGGGTGCTCTGTTGTCCCAATTTCGAAATTTTTTGCGCTCAGACGTGGTGTCTGTCTGATGTCTGGAACAGGGCATGCTGACCCTAAACCCTAAACCCTAAATCCCAAAACCCGACTCTGCCGAACCCAGCCGACAAAACCCTGCTAAGTCTCAGCTGAGGGTGCGGCACGCAATCTCGAGCGTATGAGAAGCCATCTGGAGTCGCCGCTGTGATGAACACCTTCGTGTCCCGAAATTTCCGGAGATGCAGATCTTGAAATCTAGGGGGGGGGGAGCTGGACTGCGACCCACCAGTCGCAAGTCATGATTACGATGCGAGCACCTAAACAGATGGAGGGCACAGCAGGCGCCAGAAGGTGGCGTTGCGAACGCCATAGCGGGCTCACTCCGCTCATAAGGGCCATAAGGCACCGGTAAGTTACCTTGAAGAGCCCTTAAACCCCTTTAAGTAAGGAATAGACCTTCAATCATGCTAAGGAGCCCTTTTATAGTTTAAAGCATGTTCCTTGATTAAGGGTTTTAAGGGCTCTCTGGGTTGTCTTGAAGAGCGACCGTAAGAGACGTTCGGGTGCAGAAGCCGTTCCAGGGTGTACCGTCGAGTAAGGACCAGAAGGTGCCTTCTGCTACGAATTGCTTAAGAACCCCCCTCAAACAAATGCAAGGATTCTTCCTTCTAAATGTAATACGGGGATTATTTTTCGGAGGGGTTCTTAAGCAAACAGTAGTCTGGACAAGATCTTTTCCAAAGGTCCTGACAACACCAACTTCCCCAAGCGTTGATCAGCCATGCAACTTACTCAAACTAAATCCCGCAGCATGCCAACCGCTTTTTCTTCGATATTTAGGATTTAGGGTTCAGGGTTTAGGGATTAGGGTTTAGGGTTTAGGGCAACTGCATTTTACTTGCTCGGGGCCTTTGCTCGGAATCCTGCTGAGACTGGCTGAGGCCCTATGCGAGTCTGCACACCCAAACAACATGTACTGCCGTACCTCTACCACCCGTGCCAAGCCCTAAACCCCAAACCCAACTGTAGACCCTAAACCCTAAAATCCACTCACTGTTTCCCAAAGCTCCAGGGTGCAAGGGGAACATTTTGCGAAAAACTCTGACAGTGGTCTCCAACAAAAAGTCACTGCACACAAGCAAACAAGGTGGTGCCTCAAAAACCCTACTTGGAGGTTCATGGTACTTACTAACCAACTATAACTGTACTTATAACCCTACTTATAATACCCCTAAAGGGCCTTATAGGGGTTATCCCAAATTATAAGTAGGCTTATAAAACCTCCAAGTATAGTAGAAGCCAACAAGTTGCAAGCTCATTCGCCTCAATCCCTAAGAGAAGAGTATAGGGAATCCCAGCACTGCTCGTCCTTAAAAAAAGTTTCCAACTTTTTGGGGTTTGTACTGTAAACTTCGAAACCCTTGGCCCTACATCCTCCACCCGAACACGCCCGGAAAGGATTCCTCACCTGACCCTATACCCAAAGGCTCCAATGTAGTTCCTTTTTGGGTTAGTTATAGGGGATTCTAGTATACTACCCCAAAAAGGTACTACATAGGAGCCTTTGGGTAGGGTCTGATTCCCGGGATGCCCTACTAAGAAGCAACAAGCCATCTGAGGCACAGGCAGGCTGAATGGCTCGGACCTCAAATGTTCCGGTTTCTCCGCTGTGGTTTATGGGGCTCTTGGCTTTCTTAAGCTTTACTTCTCCAAGAACCAAGAGAACAAAATGGTTAGACTTTTTTCATTCCTGCAAAAATGAGGAAAGCCGCAAACAGTTTAAAGTTCAACTCTTGGCTGAGTAAAAACTTGGGATTCTCTGAGACATCGTCAGGAAGTCGAGCCCCAGAGTTGTCGCCGTTCTCAGCCACCGGCGCACTCTCGCGCCAGCTCGGTCGCGGCGCCTGGGCCCCTTCCCCCCCCTCCCCCGGAGGCTCCAAAACAACGTGCTTAGCACTCCGGAATTTTCGAGGAAAGTTTTGACCGGGGGCCGCAATCTGATGAGAGGACTGTTCCTTCTCAGGCTATTGGAAGTCTCTGGGCTCCAGGGAAATTTCAGAGCAAGACTGGCAGCAGCTGAGTTCAAGCTCACGGTCTTGAGGGTCTAAAAGAAAACTAGGATGACCCACAAAACCCTGTAAAACATGTTCCTGACTGTGGTCCTCTTAAACCCAAAAAGGGAAAACATAAAACATTGCAAGGGCCCACCCAGGAAAGAAGAATGGCACGGAGAGACAGGGCGACTCCCCTGCTTGCGCTCTTGCTGGCGCTGGTCAGCTTCTCAGGCAAGTGCCCAGTGTCGATGGCCTGGTTCAGTTCGGTCCCTTTCAAGACGTCATCTAGTAGTTCCTTAAGAACCCCCCAAATAAGAAAAAACATTCTTCTTTATAAGGGTCCCTATAGTCTTCTGGGGCTCTTAAGCAAAGAGTAGTCATGGGTACCGCAGTCCTCAACCCTGACCCCATAGTCCTATATTACCCTCAACCCTAAATCACAAACCCTCAACCCTCAAGCCGAAATCCGAAACCGTCAACCCTACAGGCCATGCAAGACCTAGTTGCTCAGTACCCTAAGGGGAAAGAAAGGTTGACCTGTCAATTCTGGTAGGATTATACACTACATTG